TTACACACTCACTTTTTCTCAGAATTGATTTGGTACGTCTGCTCTTTTCATTTTTTTTTATCTATCTATCTATCTATCTATCTATCTAATACAAGCTTTGATCATTAATCTGTCTCAGTCGCGCCATTATCTATCTATCTATCTGTCTGTCTGTCTGTCTGTCTGTCTGTCTGTCTGCCTCAATCACTTTCAATCCGTTCGCATCTATCTATCTATCTATCTATCTATCTATCTATCTATCTATCTATCTATCTGTCTGTCTGTCTATCACTTTCTGTTCATATCTATCTATCTATGTTATTACATAATTTTAGTCTACCCATTGCAACATGCATTTTGCACAACATCGTCCTGAGTATGACGATTAACTACATCCACGTCCTGGGTAAGACGATAAACTACATACGCGTCCTGGGTAAGATGATAAACTACATCCGCGTCCTGGGTAAGACGATAAACTACAACTACATCCGCTTCCTGGGTATGACGATAAACTACATCCGCGTCCTGGGTAAGACGATAAACTACATACGCGTCCTGGGTAAGATGATAAACTACATCCGCGTCCTGGGTATGACGATAAACTACATCCGCGTCCTGGGTAAGATGATAAACTATGTCCAGCAGCAAGGCCTCAGATCAGGTTTTGAGGAAAGTGGAACCACCTCTTAATTTCTGTTGTTCCCAGGTTCACCCTGACCCGGGGTGGTAGCACCTGTTAGGGTTCCAGCTATGGGCAAATAGTTAACCCCAAACACGTCCTGGGTAAGACGAAAAACTACGTCCAACAACAAGGCCTCCGATCAGGAGGTTTTGAGGAGCGTGGAACCATCTCTTAATTGCAGATATTCCCAGGTCCACCCTGATCCGTGGTGGTAGCACTTGCTAGTGTCCCAGCTTTGGGCAAATAATTAATCCCCAAACTGGGATCAAAACACTATGGAAGTGTAAAAATAGGATTTAATACCAGTTATACGTTTTTGTAAAAGAAATTACCAGCAATAATTTTTTGAAGAAAAAAATTATTACGTATTACATATACCAGCAATACATTTTGGGAAAAAAAAAAATTACCAACACTAAAAATCTTGTCAGCATTAAACAACCCATTGAGGTTGATATGCCGTAAAACCAAACAAACAAAACCAAACCAATCTGCATAAAAATTATTGAATTTTTGCATAATCTTATTCCTTGTTAATGCACCTAATCAAACCCTGTTTTATTAATCATATAGATGAAACATTTCCAGTTTAAATTCAGTAACGGTACCACGGTGCATATGAACTGATCCACCCTGGTATCTGTTAATCTACCCGATCAGTTACTATACGTCCTCATAATATGCATCTTCTTCCTTCGTCCTTTTCCATCTCTTCCCTACAATCTCATTCAGCAGCCCTCTACCTTGAGTGGCTCTCGGGCTTTGTACTGAGTAAACAATCAATAAAAAAAAAGAAAAGATACAGGTATTTTAGTTTTCCGCGCCAGTAGAATTTACACGTGTCCGGCTAGTACTTAATTAACCTCCAAGGTCTTCTTGGATTAAAAAGATCTAACGACATACCCGCCAGTGATATATTTTATTCTATTTTTTTTTTTTTTACCATTTTTCTAACCCTGTTACATCGGTTAGGAAGCTTATAGGACAGTTGATGTCTAGCTTCGACTAAAGAGAAAGCGTAGGTAGGTAACAGGTACATCGTCAACAGCTGACGTTTGTTTGATAAGAGTGTTCAACTATAACCAAAGTTCCCAACGTGGGACGTGCATCCACCTCGGCGTGGGGGGGGGAGTTTGCGGATTTGAATTTGATTTTATGGGTAGTTGTTAACAGTGATTTTTTTTCTAAACAGTATGTGTAAGTATGAGTGTGTGTGCAAGTTAATATATACGGTGCATATTCAGTATGCAGACATAAAAATATCTGTGTGTATGTATGTACATGTTTAATCACGTATCTACTACTACTACACACACATACACACACACATATATATATATATATATATATATATATATATATATATATATATATATATATATATATATAAAGTGAAATAGATGTCAACACTTAGAGGCGACAGTCTGTTTCATGCTAGATGCAATCGTCAGGCCACCAACTGACGATTCCATATAGCATGAAACAAACTGTCGCCTCTGAGTGTTGACTTCGATGTTCACTTTTATATTTATGTTTACATACGCTCTCTCTCTCTGATATTGAGCACTTTATCCCATAAATATAGCACATCTTATGACTATATTTCTTCATATATATATATATATATATATATATATATATATTTAATTGTATTGATGTGAGTTTGTGAACCTGGGTTTAACGCCCTTTACGGTCGGTCAGACGATATCAGGACTATCACTGGTATTGGGCGCTTTCCAAAAAGTACCGCGCATATATAATATATAAATAATATATATAAAAATTGTATATATATATATATATATATATAGATATATATAGATATAGATATATATATATATGTGTGTGTGTGTGTGTGTGTGTGTGTGTATTATAATTTTTTTAAATATAATTATATGCTCTACTTATGTATTGAGCACTGTTTTTTAAAATAAAACAAAAATACTAAAGACCTTTGGATTATTAACCTAACGACTCTTTCCTTTTTTCTATATATTTGCACACACACGTGCACACACACACACACACACACACACACACACACACATATATATATATATATATACACACATTATAAATACACACACACACACACACATATATATATATATATATATATATATATATATATATATATATATATATATATATAATAAATTTGGATATGTTATCCCGACAGAGTTATAACTTATTGACATTTGGATAAAAGTTCTCTCATCTATTTCCTACCCATTCTGAAGGATTTCCATCCCAAAACTCGGACACTGTAAGCGTAAAATATTAAATGTTAGATGATTTTCTGAAGTCTCTCATTTTCTTTCTCTTTTTAGTCTCGCTCGAGCAACGCCAGCTTGGGAAAAATAATATAAAATGTAATTATTTTAAACACACCCAAATGCATACACACACAACACCTTTTTCGTTATCCATCTGATGAAGCCATATAGGCGAAATGCATTATCAGATATTATTCTCGAAACATACTTTCACGAACATTTTTCCAAATATCAGTAATTTATATATATATATATATATATATATATATATATATATATATATATATATATATATATATAGTTAAATTCCCAGATCAATTCTGTGTACAAGACAGATTGGTATAAAATGACAATTGGAAAAAAATCTTTTTAAATTTGAATTTTTTAATGTAACTATAACAACAAAAACATTTCGATTTCATTTTTGCCTTGAAAAAGTCGTAAGACAAAACGCGTCGGCAAAATTTTAGATTTTTTTTCCAATTGTCATTTTATACCAATCATACATATATATATATATATATATAATTTTTTGTATTCAGAAAACTTTATTCAGTAACTCTCTATCTTGAGCCATGTACTGGGTGAACACTGGTAAAAAAAGAGAAGTATTATATTTTCTAGCTTCTGTGGATATCTTTTTCGATACTCTCATCAGATCAAAGAAATATGACGTCATCAGTCTAGATTTTGTCTTCGTATATTTATATCAAATTCCTATTGTTTAAAGGAGTGATTCCCAACGTGGGGTACACGCCGCACGGGTGTGGGGAGCAATTTTTAAGGGGGTATTCGAGAATGAGTTGTTGGTAGTGTTTCTTTCTTTTCTGGTGAATCTGTGTGAGTATGAGCATGTGTGCGAATTAACACAGACGCTGCATATACCGTATGCATACATCAAAATATTTGCGTATGCATGTATATTCGTAATGTACTGCATATAATCTATATATATATATATATATATGTGTGTGTGTGTGTATTATTTTTTATTATAATTTCTTAGTAATTTCATCCACAGTACTTCAACAATCCTTCCGTTCTTTCATTTTTCTCTTTCATAGATGCCATTTTCTTTGAAAGCTTGTTTAGACCAACTTAATGGCCTTTTAGGCTTCCTTCACGTGATTAGGAGTTCGCTCTTTGAATAATAAGAATTATATGTCACGGGAGGTGGGGCGTCAGGTTTTTAGAGATGCTTAGGTGGGGCATGGCCCCGCCAAAAAAAAAGATGGAAACGACTGAACTAGACAAAGATGAGAAAGAAAGACAAGAAGTATACCGATCAGGTGAACAGGTAAGAGAAACTTAGAAGATGGGATGGAATGGAATTTTTTTTTTCTCTCACATCTGTTCACTCTTTTAGAATTTCATTCTCTAATTCCTTCTTTTTTTTCTTTTTTTTTTCCTTTTTTCTTTTTTTTTCTTTTTTTTTCCTTTTTGTGTCCCACGGGAGACATACTTTAACTTTTTTTTTTTTCTTCTTTTTTCTTCTGGTCTTCTATGTGCCTTATCTCTTGAGACCTTTAGCGATCATGGCTCTCCACATTTACCTGTCCTTTGAAGCCCTTAATAACATCTTTTTTCTGTTTTTCATGGTCTCTATGTGTCCCATGTGGGAGACATACTTGAACTGTAACTAAAATCTGCCTAATATTCTTCTTCTTCTTCTTCTTCTTCTTCGTCTATGCCGTATCTCTTGAGACCTTTAGCGATCATGGCTCTCCACATTTACCTGTCCTTTGTAGCCCTTAATAACATCTTTTTTCTGTTTTTCATGGTCTCTATGTGTCCCATGTGGGGAGAACATAAAACTTGAACTGTAATCTCTTTTGAGACCTTTAGCGAAATCATTGCCTTTGTAGCCCTTAATAACAATATTCCTTCTTCTTCTCTTCTTCTTCTTCTTCTTCTTCGTCTATGCCGTATCTCTTGAGAACTTTAGCGATCATGACTCTCCACATTTACCTGTCCTTTGTAGCACTTAATAACATCTTTTTTTTTTTCTATCTTTTTCCTCTGTCTCTCTTACCTGCAATCTGATTATCAAATTTCCCTGCTTACGGCCGCACCTGGTTGAAACACCAGTTCCCGTGCGATCACCGAAGTTAAGCAAGATCGAGCCCGGTCAGTACCTAGATGAGTGACCACTTGGGAATATCAGGTGTTGTAAGCTTGGATGTGCGGCTGGTGTAATGGATTATGATACGTCATTTTTAATCGGAGATTCGAGTTCCAATTCTTGTTGGGTTCGTTATATTCACTTACGCGCAAATACCCTTGGGAAAAGGCATGAATCCACTTTTCTCCTCACGTCCAGTTCATTAATAAGACTTGTATCGCTAAATCATTGTTATCACAAAAAACTTTTTACAATCTAAAAATATTTTCTGGCTTTAAATAACTTGCAAAGGGTTCATAAGCTGTAGATTTTTTTTTACAGTAAGGTTCATCCTGTACAAAGCCCGATGGCCACTGGAAGCAGAATGTTACGTTAAGGGGTAGTCTCTATGGATATGTGTTATGGGAACTTACCCATAATAATAATGGACTATTCCTGACATTATAAATACTGCGCCTCTCAAGAGCATATTGTAAGACGAGGAGAGATAATTGAGAGCATATTGTAAGGATATTGGAATAGTGATACTTGTCGAGACAACATAGTTCACTCTAACCAAATCTGATAGTCATTACTAATACTTCTACTTCTTTGTATTATATTTCTGTTTGTAATATATCTTTGTATTTGTTGAAACTTGAATAAAGCATGGAATAATAATAATACAACACAAAATGTACTTAAACAAAATGTATTGACACAAGAACGTGTACACAATATTTACAGATAGTTTGGTATATTCTTGGGAAGACTGTTCCTGTAGAATGGGTTAACTTAATCGCAGTCGGGCAGAGTCTCTGGATTGGATCTCTTGTTCCTCCCCCCGTCTTCCCGGTACCAACCCATATTTATATGGTCGGTACTCCACTTATGTAAATTAGATGGATCGTACCACAACAGTATTCCATACCTGTGTTCGTGTTATTCTTTAATTGGTCCTAACCTTGGACCATCACCGTGGTACAAGGAACTTGGGCCATAACAATAGGAGAGGAAGATAACAGATAACTCTAGTCATGAAGACGTTAGGATTGTAATGATCGGGGAAACATCATTTTGGGGGTCTATTCCAAAGAGAAGTGGTCTGCGGAAAGAAGCTGTTTGAGCGGAACTTACTTCTCACCGATAGAATACGGAGGGAATGTGGGTGATTTGATACGATGTAAGTGGCATGGCGTATCCTAGATGTGAAGGTTAGACCTGACAGAACCAACGAATGTTGTTCGTCCGTGCACTTTCCATAGAAGAAGCGATAGAGCGGTCAAAGGTCCGCCACATCCCGCCTGTGAAGAAGAGGTAGGAACGTGGAAAATAATTCTTCTACAACAAGGACTCGGAGACACTTTTGAATTCTATCAAGGCTGGAAAGTGAGAACTAGGGCAGCTTCCGTTAAATATGAAAAGAGTTTCCCCATTTTCGGCTTGATCTTTCTCTTATGAATGAATCAATAAATCAAATTCTTCATGTCGTTTTTCCTCGTTATGCGCCTTGAGAATTTCAACTGTCTATTAAATATACACGTCATTTTTGTGCTGTTATCTGTAGAGCTTCATTGTTGCTCACATGTTCAGTTCATTATATTCTCATCATCCTTCTGTAGGACCTCGTTTCTGTTGTTTTAAGTCTCTTCTTCATCTGTGAGGAGCTGTCCAGCATTCATTGCTATATAGTTCCACTTTTCCTTATACCTAACATCAGAAACAGACGGTTCAAATTTATAAGACACGTAACAAAGAAAGGGAGCTTAGAAAATTGGACACTCACTTGACATATTGATGACAAGTGGGACTGAATAAAGCATCGTATAACCTATCTCACAAGACTGTTGGCAGAACTGGGATTAGAAAAGATAACAAAAATACAATGTTTTACGTCTGACACTTTTGAATTCTATCAAGGCTGGAAAGTGAGAACTGGGTAGATCCCGCCCAAATATGACAAGAGTACCCCATTTTCGGCTTGATCTTTCTCTTATGAATGAATCAATAAATCAAATTCTTAAGATATAGAATGAAGCATTAAAAAAGATAGAATGAAGTTAAAAGCCATTAAAAAAAGAAAGAAAGTAAGAAAGAAAGAAAGAAAGAAAGAAAGAAAGAAAGAAAGCAGGAAACTGTGGAGAGCCATGATCGCCTACGTCTTGAAGAGACACGTCACATTGAGGAAGAAGGAAAAGATTTTGGAACGCTGACATCTTAAATTAAATTTTATTTTTTATTCTCTTGCATTGTTTTACCTTGTCGTTTTTTTTTCCTACTTCTTTTTTTTTCCTTTTTTTTATTCCTTTCTTTGCCATTTTCTTTCTGTATTTTAATTCAACAATTTCTTTTCTTTCTTTTAGTCTCTTTCTTTTTCCTTTTTTTTTTCATTTCGTTTCAGTTTCTTCCTTTTTTTTATTTCTTTTATTTCCTTTAATCTATCTTTCTTTTTCTTTTTCTTTTTCTTTTACTTTCCTTCTTACTCGTTTTCTTTTTTCTAATTTTTTCTTTTCTTTTCCTATTCTTTTACCTTCTGTTTTTATCTCTTTCACTTTCCTTTTTTTTTCTTTTCTTAACTTTCTTTTGTTTGTTTCGTTGTTTTCTTTCTTTTTACCTTTCTTTCTGGTACCTTTTTTCCTCTTTTTTATTTGCTCATCTTATTTTTATTTCACATTTTTATGTGAATCTTGTTTTTTTTATCATTTATCCTTTATTATTTTTATCATTCTTTTCCACCTCTTCCTTAACACCTTTCTTTCTTTGTTTCCTTCTACTTAATTCATTAACATTTTTTCTTTCTTTCAAATTAATTCCTTGTCACACCTATCTATCTATCTATCTATCTATCTATCGTTTCCATTCTGTTCATATCTATCTATCTATCTATCTATCCCAATCTGTTCATATCTATCTATCACCATCTGTTCATCATCATATCTATCTATCTATCTATCTATCTATCTATCTATCTATCTATCTATCTATTTATCTATCTATCTATCTATCTATCTATCTATCTATCTATCTATCTATCTCAGCCTATTCATTACCTTTCTGTCTATGTCAGTCTGTTCTTTATCTATCTATCTATTACAGTCTGTTTATAATCATATCTATCTCAGACTGTTCATTATCTATCTATCTATCTATCTATCTATCTATCTATCTCTAGTCTCTTCATGTCTATCTATTCATCTATCTATCTATCTATCAGACTTGCTCATTATCTGTATGTATGTATGTATGTATCTATCTATCTATCTATCTGTTCATTATCTAACTCTCTAGTTAGATAACAAGCAATTAGTCTGCCCATTATCTATCTTATTTTTCATATCTATCTATCTATCTGCTTAGCTAACATACTTTTTCATATCTATCTATCTATCTATCTATCTATCTATCTATCTGCTTAGCTAACATACTTTTTCATATCTATCTATCTATCTATCTATCTATCTATCTATCTATCTATCTATCTATCTGCTTAGCTAACATACTTTTTCATATCTATCTATCTATCTATCTATCTATCTATCTATCTGTCTATCTGCTTAGCTAACATACTTTTTCATATCTATCTATCTATCTATCTGTCTATCTATCTATCTATCTATCTATGTATCTATCTGCTTAGCTAACATACTTTTTTCCATATCTATCTATCTATCTATCTCAGTCTGTTCATTATATATCTATCTATATAACTATCTTCTCTTCTTACTATCTCTCTTTTCTCATTTTCTTTTATTTCTTTTCTGGTTTTCCTTTTGTTTCTTTTAACTTCATTGATTTGTCCTCTACCCCCTTGTACTGTTTCTTTTTCTTTTTCTTTATTATTTTCCATTAGTTTTTTTCTGTTTATTAATTTTTATTTCTTTCCGTTTTCACTTCTTTCCTCTTTTTTTTCTCATTTCTGTATACATCTCGTATTTTTCTTTCGTTTTTTTTTCCTTTTGTCTTTTTTCTCCTTTTTTACCTCCTCTTCTTTTTCATTTCCTTTCCTTCTTTTTTTTTTCTTTTTGCGCCTTTCTTTTTTCTTTCTTTCTTTTGCATTTCTTTCTTTCCACTCCAATTTTTTTTTATTTCCTTCGTTCTTTCTTTCTTTCTTTCCTTTTCTAAACTCCTAAGAATCTCTCACTTTTTTAATTTTCTCTCTTTATTTCCTTCTTCCTTTGTTTTCTTGTCTAATTTATTCCATATTTATTTTCCCTTCTCCCTCTTCTAATTCTTGTTCTTCTCCACCCTGCGCTAAATCTGGCCTAGACGTGTTTTAAAAGACTCCATATCCCAACATGCGACACAACTCTACATTTATCTCTGTTTTAAATTACTTTGCTTTCCGTGTTTTTTTGTTTTGTTTTTGTTTTTTACGTTCTGTAATGCTGTTGCTGTTAACGGCTTATACTCAGTCTGTTATCAGATCTACATTTTTTTTATATCTTTTAAGAGAGAGGCAATCAATACGTTGAAAATGAAGCTAAACAAGTCACAGAAATAAAAAAAATAAAAGGTGAAAAAGAAAAAAGAATAAAGGAATGATAAAGAGAAACAAAAGAAAGAAAGAAAGAAAGAAAGAAAGAAAGAAAGAAAGAAAGAAAGAAAGAAAGAAAGAAAGAAAGACAGAAAATGTTAATAAGAGTAAAGATAGCAGGAAGTTAAAAACCATTAAGAAAGAAAGAAAGAAAGAAAAAAAGAAAGAAAGAAAAAATGCTCATAAGAGTAAAGATAGAATGCAGTTAAAAGCCATTAAGAAAGAAAGAAAGAAAGAAAGAAAGAAAGAAAGAAAGAAAGAATGTTCATAAGAGTAAGGATAGAATGAAGTTAAAAGCCATTAAAAAAGAAAGAAAGAATGTACATCAGAGTAAAGGTAGAATGAAGTTAAAAGCGATTAAGAAAGAAAGAAAGAAAGAAAGAAAGAAAGAGGGCAAATTGTTCGTCGGGTTGTCGAAGAAACAG